CCTATTGTTTGTGTTTTTCAATTAAAATGGCATTCATGTTTGTCTTCCTACCACCTCCACCTCGAGCCCATTTGTAGTGGATTGAATCTTGCTGGAGATTTTTTGTGCCCTGCAGTTGCACAAAGTTCATGTTCCAGTACAAGGTTAATGCTGTCCAGTCGGGTGGTTCTACATTAGGCACACAGTAAAATCAAACACATTTAGGTGGATGTTTCTGTAAAGCAATGGTACATATCTAAGGTGGTTTTCCCCAGAGGACATCTGGCAATGTGGGGAGACACTTTTGGTTGTCAAAATTGGGGTTCCTACTAAAGTCTGGTGGTGTTAAGCATTCTATTATGCACAACCCCCCAAAAGAAAGATCTGTCCAGTCCCAGATATTAATAGTGCCAACACTGAAAACCCTGCTACAGAGGAATGCAAACAGAAAGTTTCATTTGTTTTACTCTCTAAGAATGGATATCAAAGGGACCAGCAGTTAGCGTAATGGCTATGTCACTGGACTCCCACGTAGTCGACCTCAGTTCGAGTCCTGGACCCGGTGGCTCAAAGTCACGCTGGGCGCGTGTGCGTGTGTGCCCAAGATCCCGAGAGGAGAATGGAGAAGAAGGGATTGCAGCGTGGCCATCCCCCCTGGGGGGTGATTTCTTGCTTTCTATCTCTCTGTCTCTCGGTATGTTTGGCGAGCCCACCCACCCGATAGCAGAAACCCCTCAAAAAAAAAAAAAAAAGAAAAAAGAATGGATATCAAAACAAATTACAGCATCTCTTCTATAAATTATAAATCCATCAAAATTATTTTATGAGATACAGTAAAACCAAGAACTGGCAGACGGCTACATCACTGGACTCCATGTAGTCAATTGCAGTTTGAGTCCTGGACCCAGTGGCTTGAAGCTCACGCTGGGCACTTGTGTGTGTGTGAGCAAAATCCTGAGAGGAAAATGGAAGAGAAGGATTGCAGTATGGCCATCCCCTGGGAGGGGAGGATTTCTCACTTTCTATCTATCTCTTTCTGTCTCTCTGGTGAGCACACATTATCTCTTAAAAAAAAAAAAAAAAGATACAGTAAAACCTGGCACATCTGGTCCATTAGAGACCCTTCAGAAGGGAATTGTTTAATGAATCCTCAGAGGAAAGGTAGAAATTCCAAGAGTAAAAATAGAAAATGACACTTATCTCAAGTCATTTTTTTAAAGAATTGTTTTATTTTAACTTTATTTATGATTATCTTCCAATTTGACCAGAGAGAGGGGGTGGGGAAGTGAGAAAGGAAGCCAGCAGGTCCAGGACTTGAACCATGGTTGGCCATGTGGAAGTCCAGCACCTTCAACCACCATGCCACCTACCAGCCCCCACATAAGTCATTGTTAAGCGCAGCCTTTGTTCTCCCCCAGCCCATGAACCTGTTCCAGATTCAGTTCCTAAATGCTGTTGGAGACCTACTGGATCTGATTCCCTCATTCTCTCCTACAAAAAACACCAGCCTGAAGTTTTATAAGAGATGGGACATGGGACATTGCTCTGCTCTTATCAAGGTAAGACCCAGTAGCTTTAGGGGAACTTTTCCACAGACTAGTCTACATAGACGGTCTATATTCACCCAAATATGGCAATATCTCATCAACCTTGGCCATCGTCACATATCAGTTCATGGTTCCTCTACAGCAGAAGAACTGGAAAAAAATCTGAGGGAGGGAATTGGAAGGGTGTGATGTTACCTCTGTTTCTCCCACTATTCCCCTCCTGCCATATGCACCTGTGCTCTTGCCCTCCAGAATCTTCCAGTGTAGATGTTAGGACAGAGTCTATAATAATTTTATTGTTTTTTAAAAATAATTATTATATATAATTTATTTATTCAATCATTTAATTTGACCAGAGAGAGAGAGAGAACGTGAGAAAACAATCCATCAGGTTTGGGACTTGAACCATGGTCAGCCATGTGGGAGTGTCCAGCACATTAAACACCAACGCCACCTGCTGGTCCCCAGAGTCTATAATGTTTTGTGCACAGAAAGGTTAATGTTGGAATCCTCAGCCATATTGATCAGAAATGAATACAGCAGTAAACACCAGAAATGACACAATC